GACTGGCCATTCCATCCAAGCAAGAAACTGGATCTGATAATTAGAAATATGGAAAACAAATTCCAGATTTTAGATAGAGCTGTGCTGGAAAATAACAAAAGTAATGAGAAAGAGAATAAGAAATTAGAACAATACCAGGACCTTGCTCGAGAGCTGAGAAAGGTGTGGAATATAAATGTTATGGAATTTTCAATAATAAAAAAAATGTACCCTTGGAACTACACCAAATACAATGGAATTGTGATTCAATGAGTTAAAAACCTGAATAGATTATAATGTTCTTAGTGTTAGCATGGATACTGAGAAAGGTGCTGGAGATTTGAGGAGACTTTCTGACACTCCATCTTCAGTGATTACCAACATATCTTGAGGGTGAGAATCCAAAGAATAATGTTTGAAAAAGATTCTACAAAGGAAACCTGAAGGGAGAAATGAATATTGACAAATCCTTAAAAGGATGAAGAGAATAGATGCCATTTCTATGGGGGAGGAATCTGAAAGATCAAACCACATGATAAGTGAATGTAGCAAGCTGACCCCAAAAGAATACAAATGCCCACATGGCAAGACCAAGAGTCATGCATTGGGAGATATGCAAACAATTTGGATTTGACTATTAGCAATATTATAAATTGTTTTAATTGTAGTCATGTTCTCATCTTGGTTTTATAGTTACTGTGTTTTGATCAATATACTCTCTAACCTTCTTCAGGTGCCACATATGGTGATCTTCCAGACTACATATTCTAGTGGGTAAAAGCATTGGTTAAGTGAACCTTCTGGCAGTTGTAAGTTCAATCTCCAGATCAGGAAAAGGAGCAATCAGACACTCAATTGTGATAGAAAAGACTAGTGATAAAACAAGGACAATTTAACAACAGAAAATCTAAGATATCAAATTGCATGCATAACAAGATCAGAACAAACTATTTGCATGGATTCAAGAAATGGTTTAATTCAAAATTCACAAAATGTTATCAATTTCTAGACAACTGAAGTATACAATTGTGGAAACACTGTGACTGTTACAACCAAGATAACAAGTAAATCAGTGTATAATAATGATAATTCCTCATTTGAGAAATGGTCAGTATCTTGTGATGATTTTCGTCTTGTCATCTTTGTCTGAAAAAGTAATTTATCAAGAAACCAGCGTCTTTATCCACTCAGTGACACTCTTTGTCTATGTCGTTTGATATGTTCTTTGTGAGGTCAACTTAACTGATAATCATTCAGACAATAACTGTCTGAAACTGAAGTTCTGTAACATCATTAAGATGTTTTCATTTAACAAGATATCAGCTGACAGTGATATTGCTAGAAAATGGTGAAAACTTTGTGATTTCTAGAATGAGTAAATCAATAGATAATAAGGATTTCTCATTACTGAAATAGTCAAAACATTGTGATTATAACGACCAAAATAAGCATGATAGATTGAGCATATCATTGTATAATAATAATTCTTCATCACTGAAATAGCCAGTTTTGTTTATAACAATTAAGATTGCAATATTAGTCCGAGTAAATCATAATGATATTTCCTTATCACTGAAAAAGTTGAAGCTAAGTAAGTGAAACACCAAGATGACGACACTAATTTGAGCAAGTCAGTGTATAATAATAATAATTACTCACCTAAAAAAAAAAAAATTGAACAAAAGCATTTTATTTTTTGTTTTTTGTAAACTTTGAAAAATTAAACTTAATTTTTTTCTATTTGCTTCCTTAGGGTACAGAAATATATTTTTTTTTTTTTTAAATGTTTCTCAATATGCTTTCGATTTAAAAAAAAAAAAAAAAAAAAAAAAAAAAAAATTCATATATCAAAAGCCAAGAGATTTCTGTTGGGGACAAACCATATTGTCAGTGCATATCTGCCTGATAAGCTGTTTACAAATGATTCCCAATTTCTACAGAAAAGTATTTAAACATCTTCAACCATTTTATCAATTCCAAATGCAGATGAAGAAGCAGATTCTTTGAGATTAACAAAATCTGACTGCTTCTGCATGATTGCCATTCTAATGAGTTTTCTGGGAACAACAAGAAAAGATAAGAATTCAGATTTTGAAAAAGAAGAATATGTTTAGCATCAAAAAAAAAATTCTACAGATGTCTTCATCTGATACTAACTTTGAAATACAAAAAAATTCTGTCAAACTAGATTTTCACGGCAATGTATAAAATTTTAAATCTAAAAAATGTATTGAAGAAATAGAAACTCATAACAGAAAAATCTGATATGTTCGATAAAATCAAATTGGCAGAAGATCTAAAAAGTGACCTACATCTGTTAACTTGGGCAAGAAATAGCTTTAGTATTTGTCTATATTTCTGAGAGGAAGTATTATGTACATTATTTATATTATTTGGACTATTGTTCTCCTCTTTGTCGCCATATTTATTACAACGTTTTGGCCATTGTATGCTCCAGCCTTCTTCGAATGGTTTTCCTCAAGGACACATGGCACAGTGGATAAAGGCATTAGTTAGATCCAGTGACAGGACCCAAAGAGTGTGAGTTCAATACCTGGTTAAAACAGTGGAGAACTTTCAGAGGGAAATTAACAGGAGATAGCTGATAACTGACATCCATTAGACATGGCATGTGGAACTAGAACGGTCTACCCCAGTGAGCGAAATAAAGGGTTAAATTCAACATTCCATCCACTGAAGAAGGCTGAAGTGTACAACAGCGAAACTGAGGCGAATGAAGAAAACAGTAACCAGCGAGTAAATTCAAGCTCTCCCAGCTGGTATTTCAACCTTGAGTCGTTCCTTCTTGAGTTCTGTCTCCAAATCACACTAACTGCCCGTTCTTGCCGTCAACCGTGAACGTCCCTCGAAGAACTCCCTGACTCGGAAAAAAGTAGTTGTTTTTATAGTTGTTCATGTACCCATAATCCCTTGCATCTTCATGTGATCCCATAATTCATTGTGTTCATGTCCCATAATGCATTGCATCGTTATTGCATAAAAATGCGATGCCATTCCCCCATCATTCTTTTACGTTATCTGGCCGAGGATGGATTACGGCAGAGCGGTAAGTGCTCTTTTCTCTCCCTCATTTCAACTGCAGTAGCTTTACATGCTAAGCAAATACGGGCTCTTTTTTGGCGGGGACAAGGCAAGTCACGACCAGTTGTGCTCGTCCCAGGTTCTGTCTCATGTCTGCCACAGAAACGTTATAATAGATATGGCAACAAAGATGAGGACAATAGTCCAAATATTGTAAATAATGTAAGAAATAACTTGTTTATTTTAATGCCTCTAAAATGGAAGTGCTATATTTTAATAAAGAACCTTTTAGCCTTTCATCAGCATGACTGATTCTAACCACCATGAGATTGACTCATTGCACCTTCTCAGACTCAAGTTTTCTACTGACATGAAATGGAAAGATTACATTGAATCAGTTGCTAGGTCTGCTGCGAAGAAATTAGGTTTACTGTGTTGTGCTAGATAATATTGGCGGGGGTTGAAATCCTCAGTGTATTTAGTATCATTGAAGTCATTGTGAACATTTTTTGTCGAGATTTACAAACTCTACGTTTCATTCAATTTCACAAAGAACTTGATGAAATTTGAATAAGCTCATTTGTTTGGGAAAATACTTTGACAAAAATCCTACTTTGGTGGTTTTTATGCATCCTAGTAAAACTAACTTTACTTTGTACTCGCTCAACTATTTACACTTCTCAAAATTTGGTTTTGATTGGTCAATGTCTGGCTATTTTAGAGATGTGATTGATGGACTAACATAAGTCAGAGAATCTATATATATATATATATATATATATATATATATATATATATATATATATATTTTTTTTTAATTTAAATATCCTAACTTTTATTTGTATTATAATTTACTCTTAATTCACTCCTTCCTTTTTCTGGCAAGTTCGCCATGTACTGAACTTTGTATTTCTTTTGTCTTGGGTCAACCTCTAGTTTTTCTGTACATTTCCTTTTTCTTTTAATCATGCTTGTATGTTCAAGAAATTCTTAGGGTGTTGATATGTCAAAAATATCATACAGTACTTGCATAGGTTCTTCCTTTCTTGCAGACCTTTCTTCAGTAAGCCTTTTCTTTAACTGATTCCAATATCTTTTTCCCTTTTACCATATTCATCATTTTTCCAATTCACAACCTATTACACCACCATCTCACATTTACTTTCCATTATTAGATACTTTTTGCTAATTTTGAAAACTTTTATGTCCTTTTTGTTATCCGTTCCTATTCTTTTTTGATCTGGTAACAACTTGTCAAACACCAATTTCGTTTTTCTTGCTAACATCAATTCTGCTGGTGATATGACTATCAGTGTATCAGGATTCAGAGTTATCCAGTATACTGCCAAGAATTTTTTTAGTGTTTCTTCACTCACTTTTTCATTACTTGCTTTTTTCCAAGCTCTCTTAAAAGTACCCACAAATCATTCTGCTTGTCTGTTTGACCTTGGGTAATACAGTGGGGCAGTAATATATTCACTAGAGAACATTTCACAAAATTCTTTAAATTCATAAGCAGTGAATTGTGTACTGTTATCTGACATTATGGTATCTGGAATTCCATATCTTGCAAACAGTTTGGGAAAGATTCACTCTAACTGTGAAAGTTGTTTTTTTGCACTTAGAAATTTCAGTCCACTGAGTAATGATATCCACTAACCCCAAGATACTGTGATACATTTATTGGATATGTGAAATCTATGTGCAGTCTTCACCATGGAGTATCTGTCTTTGGCCAAGGTTGTAATTTTGTAGTAGGTGATTTTGCTGCCAGAGTACAACCTCTGCAGACTTTTACTAATTTTTCAATGTCTTCATCCACTTTGGTTCAGTATATATAGATTCTCATAGGAGATTTCATCCTTAAAATTCTCAAATGTCTACTATGAAATTCATTTAATCATTTTTGTAATATGATAGTTATAACTACTCTTTGTGCAAACATCAATACTCTGTCATGTAGCGAGTAAGCATTCAAGTTTGGATTGCATTCTAAAAATCATCTATCTATCTATCTATCTATCTATCTCTCTCTATCTCTCTCTATCTATTTATCTCTCTATCTTATTTATCTCTTATCTATCTCTCTATCTATTCTCTATCTATCTATCTCTCTATCTATCTATCTCTCTATCTATCTTACTTTTTTTTAGTTATTTTCAAAATAAACATGTCTTGTTCCGCTTTTACTTTTATTTCTTCCAGAATAACTGTTAGTTTGCATACTACATTGCATAATATATTTTTAATTTGTTTCCCTTTTAAATGCTGCAATAACAGTGTCTTCAAACAGTTCAGTATTTTTTGGCATCAATCTTAACAAACCATCAGCATGTCCTAATTTTTTGGACGGCTGGTATTCCATCTTGAAATTATAATTTAATAAGATGGTACACCAGCATTGTAATCATATTTGCTGCATGCATAGGAATTCTTTCTTTTTTCTTTTTTTTAACAATACATTGATGTCTGTGGTCTATCTGTAAATAAAAACAATATTTTTGCTGTAAATATTATTACTACTGCCTCTTTTTCGATCTGGTTGCAGTTTTTTCTGATTTTAGTAGTGAATGCAAAGCATGTGCAATGGCTTTAATGTTGCCACCATCATATTTATGTAGAATTACTGCTCTTATACCATAGTCCCTAGCATTTGAAGCCAATACAATTTCTGCTTTTGAATTGTAGTGCAGTAATAAGACATTAGTATGTTCTTCATTTCTTCAAACGCCTTCCGACACTTATCAGTCTAGTTCCACTTTACATCTTTTTTAAGCGACTTGTTCAGTGAAGCTCTCAAATTCTGCATATTAGGTATATTGATTTGATAATAGTTTTCTAGTCCCATAAATGCTTGTAACATAGTAACATTTGTTGAAGGTAGCATATTCTTAATTGTACTTGACCTCAACGGCCATCCTGGGTATGACGATTAACTACATCCGCATCCTGGGTAAGACAATAGCCTACATCCAACAGCAAGATCTGATCAGGAGGTTTTGAGGAGTGTGGAACCAGCTCTTAATTGCTGGTGTTCCTAGGTACACCCTGACTCAGGATGGTAGCACCTGTTTAACCCTGAAACTGAGGTAAAAAACATTATGAAAGTGTAAAAATAGGTTTTAATACCAGAAATACTTTGTAAAAAAATTACCAGAAATAAATTTTTGAAGAAAACAAATATTACCAGCAATACGTTTTTGAAAAAAAAAATATTACCAGCAATACATTTTTTAAAATAATATTACCAGCTATAAATTTTTGAGGAAAAAAATATTACCAGAAAAAGAATTTTGACAAAACAAAAATATTACCTGGGGAAAAAAGTTGTCAGCATTAAATAACCCATTGAAGTTGATATGCCATAAAACAAAACAAACCTTGACCTCAACGGATCTAGTTGACAATCATTTTTGTCAATGGTTGTCCTAGGTACCTGAATTTAGGGAAAAATAATTTGCACTTTTCCTCATTGAGTTTGAACTCATATTCTTCTATTTTTCAAAAATTCTTTTTACATGCCTGATATTTTGGGTATGACAATTAACTACACTTTTAATATATCATCCAGATAAGCAACTACAAAATCCCAATCTGCAAGCATAAAATCCATAGCTTGTTTAAATATAGCTGTAGCCACTTTTATCCCAAAAGGAATTTGGTTGAACTTATACAATCCTTTCTGCATATTTATAGTTATTAACTCTGAAAATTCTTCTTCAATGGAGTCAGTTTGAATCTTTCACACTCCTTGTTAATGATTCCAGCATATGTGACAAAATCTTTGTCTTCTTTTTTTTGTCAAATTCATACACTTCCAGTGACTATTGAATAACAAACTTTTCTCACTAAAAATTTTAGTTTAAATATTTACTGTTTTTTAAATCAAACTTTTGTTTTTTTTGTTAATACAAAAATATGATAATATATTACAAAATGACAGTATTTTTCATGTTATACCAGTGCTAATTTTTTCAATAATTATCTTGTTTTTTATCATCTTCCCAGTCACTGAATTATTCTCAAAAAATTTACTCTGAAATTACCTTCTAAAAGTAATTCTGTCATCTGAATTTTATGTGAATTCAGTTATGGCATTTGCCACCACATCAGGGATGAAAGAACTTGGAGAGTTTTCCATTTTCTTTCATATTGTTTCAGTTAAATTTTTCTTGTTGTTTCTGCTGTTGTATTTTTAACACTTGGGATACTTCTTCCATGTTTAAAGAACAGCTGTTTTTTTTACTCTTTCTTTTTTTTATACACACCAAAAAAATAATTAAACTGACATGATTCTAACATGTACCAAAGCAAAAAGTACTTTTTCTTACTAGATATGAGTTTTGATCTCTTGTTGCTACTGTCATAACTCATTCTTAGCAAATAATATTATTGTCTTGCTTAGGCTACACACCACAACATCATTAGAGTTCTTCCCGACTGACTCCAACAGACTTCTCCTGACTCACTTTGAGTTCTTTAATGTGTCTTGCCTAGTTCACTTGTCTTATTTATGCCACAACAGTTCCACAGAGTCGTAGTTCATAGGCAGAAGTTGTTTGAGTGGAATTTACTTCCCACTGTTGGAATATGGACAAAATGTGGGTAGGTTGCTACAATGTAAGTGGCACAGCAGGTCCTTGGTGGAATGTAGTTCATCCAAGCACTTTCCATGTAAGTAGAGATAGATCAGTAAGAGGTTTGCCACATCCCACCTGTAGGTGGGAGCAGAAAATAATTTGTGACCCACAAGGACTCATAGATGCTTTTGAACTTTATCAAGACTGGAAAGGGAGTACTGGGCAGCTCCCACCCAATTTATGACAACAGTACTCCTGGCTCTTATAAAGTTAGAAAATAGCACGAGGAGCCAGATACTTACTAAAAGGGTACAGGGAGCCTAAAGATTTTATTAATACATTTATACATTTCATCAGATGGATGCATTAAACATAAACAACAAACAAACCAATATCTGTCTAAAATTGCAATATGAGTACTGGTAAAAAATGATTGCTGAAGACATTGGGTTTTTAATACCCAGGAATTCATACACAAGGATAAAAGCGTTGGTTAGATCCAGTGACAGGACCCAAAGAGTGTGAGTTCAATACCCAGTTAAGGCAGTGGAGGACTTTCAGAGGGAAATTAACAGGAGATAACTGAAAACTGACATCCATTAAACATGTCATGTGGAACCAGAACAGTCTACCCCAGTGAGGGAAATAAAGGGTTCAATTCAACATTCCAACCAGCCAGAGCATACAATAGCCAAAATGTTGTAATAAATATGGTGACAAAGATGAGGACAGTAGTCCGAATAATCTAAATAGTAAACAAACCAACAGTAATATAACAGTAATTCTCAAATTTAGGCATAAACATATTAAATATATTTCATAAATAAAAAACATGTAAAAAAAAACAACATATAATTCTCATGTAAATAGTGAATATTTGAAAATGATAGAATCAATACAGCTCAAAAAACAAAGCTCATTGATAATGGTTTATGAAAGACAAAATACTCGGACGTCAGTCAATTTATATTTAAATCTGTAGCAAAAACAAGGAAGATCTTTCAAAATACAGAAAAATTAAGTTGTTAAAGAATTCTTATTGGTCCTTAAACAAATTTTAACATATAAAAATATATGATTATTTATAATTAATATAAAATAGTTTTTTATTTTAATTATTACTATTATTACTAGCAATTTTCATTTAATAAACAATGCTCAACACCTTATCTGAACATTGTAAAAATATAAAAAATAGACAGACCTTATTAGTTCTTTTTATTCAAACAAGTTTGGGTGAATACTTACTGCCTAAATATACGTTATATATATATTATGGTATTTGTCTGTAGATCTTTATTATATTTCAAATTACATATTAGATGTATATCTTCGAATTTATATTCATATGTTTGTATTTGAAACCCTTAAAGTTGCATTGTGCAAGTCAAAGTTGTGCTCTTAGTGAAAAAAGAATCTATATATATATATATATATATATATATATATATAAATAATTAATGTTGCTACATCTCTTTATATTGAGCTCTGTGCTAAGTATAAACTACAAGAAAACAGAATGCATGGTCATTAGTAAGAGGATGAGCCCAAAATGCAATTTGCAGGTTGAGAACACTAGAATCAAGCAGACTTGGAAGTTTAAATATCTGGGAAGCATTTTAACAGAGGACAGTAAGTGCAACACTGAGATTCGTAGATGTATTGGAATGGCCAAGGGTGCATTCCAAAAACTGGGCAGAGTATTGTGAGACAGGAGGATTTTTTTTTGTACAAAAGAAAAGGATACCTAACTGTTATGTGACATCTGTCCTTCTTTACAGCAGTAAATGCTGGACAATTTCCTCAGCAATGAAGAAGAGAGACAAAAGGTGACATAGATATGGTTCTACAGAAGGATGCTGAGGATTTTGTGGACCGAGCGTGTGAGCAATATATAATATTATTAATAATAATAATAGCTGGTCACTCATATTCAAGGATACGCATCTACTAGGGAGGATAGCCACTCCCTATTGCAGACACTTGCTCAGGTGCATTTGTGTTTATTCAACACCCACAGAGAACACCATTTCTGGGAGAGAGCATGTTATCTAGCATGATCAACAATCTGGGATCCTCCTCCTCCTCCAGAATGATAATGTCAAGAAGTATCCTTCCTAACAAATCAAGTGTGGTGTGATTCAAACCCAGGTCTCATAGTCAGAAAGTGAGTGTTTATAACACTTGGCCATGCACCCGTGTGTATATATATATATACATACACATGCATGCATTTATATATATGTATAAATGAGTATAAATTGTTCAAAATTCATATTTTATCCACAGCTCTATATGATTATTTATAATTAATATAAAATAGTTTTTTATTTTAATTATTACTATTATTAAAAATTTTCATTTAATAAACAATGCTCAACACCTAATTTTTATTCATAAAAATATAAATAGACAGACCTAATTAGTTCTTTTTATTCAAACAAGTTTGAATGAATACTTACAACCTAAATATACCTTATTCATATATATATATATATATGTATGTATGTATGTGTGTGTATGAATGTTCATTTTTCTGTGTGCATGTATTTACATTTTTGTATGATGCAATC